GCCTGGACACGCCACGTCAGTATGATATTTCTAAACCTTATCATCGGCATACCTCTGGCACAACGAGCATCGCCCAGAATGCCAGACAACAGAGTGCTCTTCCCCGACCCGACGGCTCCAACGACCGCACACAAAGTGCCATCTTTGATCACAATGTTGATGTCGTGCAAAATGGGTTCAATTTGACAGTTTTCATCAGCGTCAGTTTCCTGCGCCGAATCCCATTCGAAGTCCGCGTGTTGGAGCGAGATCGACGTCACTTTCAACGGACCTGCAGTCACAGGCTCGCGCTCTTCCATGGTGAAGAACTCTTCCAAACGCTTAAAACTGACTTGAGCTTCGACGAGCGAGTTGATCACGTTGGGTAACATGAACAATGGAAAGCGCAAGATGTTGAAAAGCGCTAGCGAAGTCAAGGCCGTCCCGACGTCCAACGAGTTGCCCATGTAAACGTAAGCAAAGAACGACGTGACTGTGACGAGCGACGGCACGCCGTTAAACACCATGCTCGACGCCGCGCGCGCGTAAATGTAAGTGCGGAGTCGTTCCAACTCGTTGCTGCGGAACTGCATCACGCGGTTCGTGAACGAGTTTTCCCACGCTTGGAGCTTGATGACTTTGATGCCGCTGAGCACTTCGTACACGACCTTGACGCGCTCGTCCTTGACTGTCATCAGTGCACGCTGCAGCGTTCGCATGTACTGTGAAATAGCAGCCGTCGCCGGAATGATGAGGAGCATCACGATGACACCGGCAAGGAACGACACGCCCAATTGCAAGTACAGCAAGTAGGAGGAGATGCCAATCTGGAACAAGGCATACCAAATTGCATGCAGGTAGTTGGTGATTTCTTGCAAACGCTGGGCATCGACGCTCATGAGGTTGGTGATTTCGCCCGTCGACTTCTTGGCACGAGCAGACGCGGCAAGGACGAGTGACTTTTGGTACACGGCAGTGACAATGGCCGAACGGAACCGCAGTCCCGTTTCGAAACACAGAAAAAAGTACTGACGCAACGAGAATGATTGCACAACCCCAGACACGAAGATCGCAGCCGCGTACCACAACCCCGTGTTCAATTCGGCGGTCGGGTCGCTGAGGAATGCAATGATATACTTGATCACCATGGGGCCGACAAACTGCAACGAATCATGGAGTAGCTTGAGGACTCCAGCAAAGACAAATTGGGCGCCGAACGACCGCGCCAACGCCCACCAGAGTCGCGGGTTCGATTTCGTGAGTTCAATCTCCCAGTACTTCTTGAACGTCGCCGAGATTTGCGCGGCCCGGTCGTCCGCGTTCAACTGGTAGAGGTCGTCAAATTCCAACGGACGCTTGTTCCCGAGATCCAAGAGCGGGGTCAACCACGAGAAGAAAACGTTACTCATGCATCCGCCCAGTTCCGACGGACTCTTATCTCCCAAGCCATGGTCGGTCGCTTCCTTGCCAAGAAGGGGTAGGCGCTCCTCCTTCTTGTACACGATCTTGGCCGCCGCCATGTCTCGGTTTCCTGGCAAATTTCGAAGTGGAATAAAAAAGGTGTGGATATAACTGGTCGAAAACCAGTCGAACATTCCCATCTTCCATGGATTGGTCTGTCCTTCGAACTTCGGATTTGGCGCAAGTACTTTATCGAAGGGTCGGAACAACCACACCGACCATACTTTATTTCATATGAACGATTGTGTGGGTGATTACTTACACGGTATGCGTACTTAAATGGCCACGATAGAACGGCTTTTAGGTTCGACATCACCCACACTTTGAGGTGCTTGGGTTGGGGCGTCAAGGCGTGAGTGTGGGTGCTGTTGGATGGTGGAGACATATTTCGTCGAGTGCATTGAGCAAACTAGACACGCTGTGAAGAAATGCCAGTGGACTAGACAATCACGAGGCGTTGGTAGGAGTTTCGACTGCACGTGGCGAGCACTAGCCCTGAGATAACTAGGAGTAGGTAGACCTCCACGTAGTAATGTCGCAAAAAGTTAAACAAATAGTACTCTGAAGTGCATGGATGTCAACTTGCTAACCAAGGCTCGAAATCCTAAACAATGTCGCACCGCAGCGTTGCGTGGAAGGAGTTCAGTTAAAACGTTGGCGAGCTTGGATCCTCGTTTTGCAGGACGTTGCAATGCTTACAGCTTGTAGTGTGCTGAATAACCATTGACATCTGTCCTACTAGTAAATGAGTTAGTTGGACGAACTACTAGTGCCAAATAAACAAACATCTTGGGGCTCGTACTACGCCTGCAACCGAAGTTCGAAGTCTGGACCTTTTCAAATGGCTGACATGCACTCACAGTCATGACGTTGCATGACAAGGCCATGGAGGACACGGCGGCATCCCGTCCACTTCTCGATAAAGCGAGTGCGAGCCATGGCATGGAGGGCAAGAGCCCATCTCAAATAGGCGGGTTCTTGAGCAGCGCCATGTTCTCGTGGCTCACGCCTCTTATGGATCTTGGGTATAGTCGTCCCCTCGAGTTTGACGATTTGTATCAGCTCAATCCCAACAACCGTGCACAGTACATCTCGGCGGCGTTCCAGAAGAACTGGGCCATTGAGGTAGCCAAGCCCAAGCCACGACTGTGGCTCGCCCTGGCCCGGTCGTTTGGCGGGCCATTCATCGTGGCTGGATTCCTCCGACTCATCACAGACTCGTCGCAGTTTGTTGGCCCCTTGATGATCAAGCTCATGATCGCATTCCTGAGCGATCGGTTAGCAGACGTGACCATCGGGCTCTATTACGTCCTCGCGATCTTGCTTGCTGGGGTCATCCAATCGTTTTCGTTGCGGCAGTACTCCTTTCTGTGCTCTGAAACTGGCCTGCGCGTTCGATCAGCCATCGTGACCGCCGTGTACGACAAATCGCTTGTCCTGGCCGCATCTTCTCGCGCGAAAAAGTCGATGGGCGAGATTACCAACCTCATGAGCATTGATGCTCAGCGTCTGCAAGAGCTTACGGGTTCTCTCCATGCAATCTGGTTGCCCTGTACCAAATGCTCGTGACCTCTTATTTGCTCTACTTGCAGCTGGGCGTCGCATACTTTGCCGCGTTCGCCATCATGCTATTGCTCGTTCCCGCGACAACTACCGTGTCTACGGCGATGCAGCGCCTCCAACGAGCCCTCATGACCGTCAAAGACGGCCGAGTCAAGGCTGTGTACGAAGTTCTCAGTGGCATCAAAGTGCTCAAGCTGCAGGCATGGGAGACGTCGTTTGCGACCCGCGTGATGCAGCTTCGCTCCAACGAACTCAACAAACTGCGAGCGTACGTATTTGCACGGGGGGCGGCGACGATGGTATTCAACGGCGTACCGACTCTTGTGACCATCGCATCGTTCTTTGGGTACATTTACATGGGCCACAAGTTGGACGTCGGGACTGCCTTGACTTCACTCGCCCTCCTCAACATTTTGCGGTACCCTCTGTACATGCTTCCATTCGTGATCAACTCGATCGCGGAAGCCCAAGTGAGTTTTGGACGGCTGGAAGAATTCCTCCTCATGGACGAGCGTGAACCGGTGACGGCGGGACCGTTGAAGGAAAC